ATCAGGCCGTGCGAGAAGGCAAGCAGTGGCAGTTGGCGCTGGCGCTGCGAAGAAACTGCGGGTGGGCCACGATCAGCAGGACCGCTGGGAGCAGCCCGGGGGAGAAAGGGGGCAAGCAGTGGCAGCCGACGCTGGCGCTGCGAGAAAAGTGCGGGTGGGCCACGATCAGCAACAACGCTGGGAGCAGCCCGTGCGAGCAAGAAGGCAGGCAGTGGCAGCAGGCGCTGGCACTGTGTCCAGGTGAAGGACGAGCCCGACGCCGTCAGCTACATCCGACGCGACGTTGGAAGCCGGGCGGGAGGAGAGAGGCCGTTTTCCCAAGGACGAGCCGATGCCATCAAGCACAGCGTGGGATCAGGCAAGTGAACGACAGTAAGGGGGAAAGGCGAGCAGTGCACTAGTAACGTCATCAGCTACCAAGCTGCGGATCAGCAACTTCGGGTGCGAAGGCAAGCAGTGGCAGCAGGAGCTGGCATGCGAGAGAAGGGCAGGCAGTGCAGCAGGATTGGCATTGCGAGAAAATGTCAAGTGCAGGAGCGGAAGACATCTTCAAGTTAAGCGCTGGGGTCAGCTCGCGTGCGGAAGGGCTGGGAGTCAGCGGAAGCACCTTGCGAGAAGCGGGGGGCGAAGCTGGAGCCCAATATTGTCGGGCACTCTGTGGCAAGCCTCTTGCGAGAAGCGGGGGGCGAAGCTGGAGCCCACTAGTGTCGAGAGCTCAGGGCCAACCTCTTGCGAGAAGTGGGGGGCGAAGTTAGAGCCCAGCATTGGCGGGAGCTCTGTGAGAAGCCTCTTGCGGGAAGCGGGGGGTGAAGCTGGAGCCAAATTTAGTCGAGAGCTCTGGGCAAGTTTCGTGCGAGAAGTGGGGGGCGTAGCTGGAGCCCAATATCTTAGCTACAACGCTGGCATCAACTCGTGCGAGAAGGGGAAGACAGGCAGTGGCAGCAAGGACTGTCAGGCGTGTCAGCCGTGTTCTAGGCCAAGCTTTTCTGACGGTCAGTGTAAGTGGACGGTATTGTGAAGGAGGTATCCACCATCCCGAACGAGAACGGCCAAGGGTAGACTGATTCGTTATGGGAGTGCGGCCATTCACCAGGAACGCCTATGTAAGTACGGCTTGCAAGGCGTGAGGCGGTTTGCGTGGTGCTTTCCATCTGCGTAAGTCCTAAGTAGCACAATCCTAGCGCAATCCTCCTCCTCCTACTCCTCCTCCTCCTCCTCCTCCTCCTCCTCCTCGTCTCTTACTCCCCCAAGTGCTCGCCCAACGGTTTCCACAACGACTGGACTAACACGTGGTAGTCAAATAGTTTGCCCAGATGTTGGCCAAACCTTTCAAAAGGTAGGGGGCGCGGTGATTTGCCGTGGGTCTCTCCAATCCGCCGCCCCATGTGGCTTGCCAGAGGCATGCTTGACTATTTAAGGCTCTTCCCAAAAGCTCCCCGTGGCCTCCAGCCCAACCCGCGACCCACTCAGAAACCGCCGCCCATCGCCAGAAAGAACTCTCATGCGCGGAACCTAGGTCTACAAGACGGCCAGGATGGCCCAAGATGGTCTCCAAGCTGGCCAAGGTGGCCTCGAAGACGGTCCCATGACACCTCAAAGACGGCAAAGGATGGCCCAAGACGGTCTAAGATGGCTCCAAGACGGCCCCGAGATGTCATCAAGGCGGCCCCAGAGTTGCCCGATCCAGCCCAAGAGGGCTCTGGCCCAAGAGGGCTCTGGCCTTCCAGGAGGGCCACATTGGCCAAAACAGTCAATTTCCCAAAAGCGTTAGACACGGTTTCGCGTTCACGCCTCGGGTTCCCGACAACCCAGAACGGCTGCAGAGGCCCCCGAGATAACCCCAAGACGGCCCCAGAGTCGCCCAAAACTTGCCAAAGGACCCGAAGACGGCCCGGGAGGCCCCAGAGACAGCCCCAAGAGAGCCCCAAGACGGCCCAAGCGATCTCCAACACAGCCCCACATCGCCTCAAGAGGGCCCAGAGAGAACTTCAAGATAGTCTCCTAAGGCGCCAGACGGGCCAAGAAAGACCCAAGACGGCGCCACGGGCCCCCAAGATACCCGCAGAGGCCCCCACGAGGTCCCCAAGACCCCCGAGTGGCCTCCACCTTCTGCTCCCTCTCCTCCTCGTCGTCATTATCATCTTCCACGTCCTCCTCCCTCCTCCTCCTCCCTCTCCTCCTCCTCCTCCTCCTCCTCCGCCTCCTCCTCGTCCGTCCCCCTCCTTCTCCTCCTCCTCCTTCTCCTGATCCGCCTCCTCCTCCTCCTCATCCTCCTCCTCCTCCTTCCTCCTCCTCCTCCTCCTCATCATCACATCCATCACATCATCATCCATCATCATCATCATCATCATCATCATCATCATCCTCTCATCATCATCATCATCATCATCATCATCATCATCATCATCATCATCATCATCATCATCATCATCATCATCATCATCATCATCATCATCATCATCATCATCATCGTGATCGTCATCATCATCATCATCAGCAGCATTATCATCATCATCATCATCATCATCATCATCATCATCATCATCATCATCATCGTCATCATCAGCAGCAGCAGCAGCTTCATCAGCATCATCAGCATCGTCCGCATCACCAGAATCATAATCACCATCATCAGCAGCAGCATCACCATCATCACCATCATCATCATCGGCATCATCATCAGCATCAGCATCACCATCACCAGCATCATCAGTATCATCGTCATCATCATCAGCATCACCATCATCATCACCATCATCAGCAGCAGCATCATCAGCATCATCAGCAGCAGCAGGTTCATCTGCATCATCAGCATAATCAGCATCCTCATCCTCAGCATTATCATCCGCATCATAATCAGCAGCAGCATCATCAGCGTCGTCATCATCATCACATCACATCTTCACCACCACCCACCACCACCATCATCAGCATCAGCACAACCGCCATCTTCATAGCATCAGCATCATCATCATCATCGTCAGCAGCATCAGCATCAGCATCAGCATCATCATCTGCAGCATCAGCATCATCACCATCAGCATCATCATCACCATCATCATCAGCATCGTCAGCATCGTCCTCATCATCATCATCTTCATCATCATCAGTAGCATCAGCAGCATCAGCATCATCATCAGCAGCATCAGCATCATCATCAGCATCATCATCGTCGTCGTCCTCATCATCAACATCAGCAGCATCATCTGCAGCTTCATTATCATCAGCATCATCACCATCCGAGAGAGTTCTCGGAGGGGTCTGGATGGGTTCGCCGGGATTCGCGGAGTGTAAACAATTATCCCAAGCCATGGGCTGCATCCCGCAGCGAGACAGCTGCTCGGCTCTGGAAGCACAAAGGGGATGCGAGCATGGGGAGGACGAGGAGCAGCAGCAGGATGAGTTATCGTTTTCGGATGTCAAGAAGGAGCGTATCCAGCGCCAGAGGACGGAGGAGCGTATCCTCTGTCAATCCGCAGCGCCAAAGTGACCCACATGTGCTGCGTGCTCCACGCCTGTGCTGGAGCAGGAGCCATTGATAAGTAAGAGGAAGCAAGGAGGAAGAAGAGGGGGAGGCGAGCAAAAGGAGTGAGAAGAGACCCTCGTCGGAAAGCATGGCTGAAAACGATTGTCAGCCGAACTTATGGATATGCAACGAGGTGCACGTGCTGTCACGCCAGCGAGCGGAGCACATGCGGTCAAGGGAAGAGGAGTGAGAAGAGGTTGAGGACGAGAAGTGAGAAGAGGAGGACGACGACGAGGAACCCTACTCCAGGCTGGCCCAGCTGGGTTCCATGCTAGAGACGGCGAGCCTGCTCGGGCCGCCGTCTGTTTCCAAGAGACTCATCCGACGATGCTTGCAGCCTTTAGGAGTGGTCGCTTCCTTGCTGTGATCGTCCTCGCCCAACAAGCCTCCGACAGAGAACCCGGCGCGGTTCAAGCGCTTCGCGTAGACGTTGAGGTAGCGGATCCCCCCCAGCGTGCGTCCGTGCGCGACTTTGAGATACACTCTCCCAAACTGTACCCACTTGGGATCCTGCGTGACATCCTCTGCCGCGCGGTACTGGAGACCGCCAGCCTGCTTCTCATCCGCCCACTTTCCCGTCAGGTTCAGCTCCTGGAAGTACATGTCCGCGCACAACTCGCCGAGCCTCTGCGCCTCCGCCTCCACGCGCAGCAGGGTGCCCTCGGTGCGCGCGCCCCTCGGGATCTGGACCAAGAGGTGCCTGCCGGCCTGCATGAGGTCGAAGCGCTCGCCGAGGATGTTCTGCAGGTGCGGGTCGCCGGTGCCCGCGACGGCGCCCATGCTGGCCCCCACGATCACGGGAACCGGCGTAGGAGCAGTGGTAACTCCCGCAGTCGAGCCCGCTGCGCCAACGGAGGGAGCGGTCAGCGTGGGGGCCACAGTGATAAGGGGTTCAGCACTCCAGTCAGAAGCAGCCATAGCTTGGTTCGTCTCGGCCTCAATGGTGTCAGCCATGACAGCAATCGCGGAAGTGAGGGACGCGGCGCTGTTGCTGCCGACGATCTGCACCGTGAAGCTCGTGGTCACTGTGACGTGCGAGTCCCGCGAGAGCTGCCGGACAGCAGCGAGGAGCCGATCGGGATGGGTCGTGATGGCGAAGCCAGTGATTTCAACGTCGGAAACAGACACGTTCAGAGTATTAGCCAGACCAGTCTTCTTGGCGGACACGTAAGTGGTGGAACTCATAAGGTCCTCCGCAGTGACGCCGTCTGGAAGAGATTCCTCCGCAGAGTACTCGCCAGCAATCCGTGCGTAATTGGAGAGGTAGCTGCCCGTTTCATTCGAGCACGTGAGACCGAATGCCCGATAGTAGAGCCAGGTTGACGAATCTGCACTGCAACCACACAGGCCGCCGTGCCAGCAACCATTGCAGCCGTTGCACGTAGAATTTGCAAGATCGAAGTAACCACAGCCATCGTCGCAGCTGCAGCATCCAGCTGCTTTGCGCGCTGCTGTGCAATCCCAACAGTTGCAACCACAGGGTGGGCTCGGGCAGCCGCAAGTTTTCTGAGTTTCGGAAAGCGTCGGGCTTGGCGTGGGGCTTGGCGTCGGGCTTGGCGTCGGGCTCGGGGTCGGAGACAACGTGACGCCGGGTGGCAACGGTGTCGGGCTTGGCGTCGGGCTCGGCGTCGGGCTTGGCGTCGGTGGCACTGCGTGGTAGGACAAGTAGCTGCCTGCATCACTCGAGCACGTGAGACCGAACACCTCATAGAAGGGCCAAGTAACCGAATCCGTACTGCAACCACATTTGCCCTTGTACCAACAACCCATGCAACCGTCGCACAAAGTCATCGTATCGCCATAACCGCAACTCGACCCCGCTTCGCAGCTGCAGCATCCAGCAGCTTGACGCTCTGCTGTGCAATCCCAACAATTGCATCCGCAGGGGGGGCTGGAGCAGCTACAAATGCCCGATGCATGCACGTCCCCAAGCGGGGGGTAGGTGGGCGCAGACGTCGGGGTCCGCGTCGGATGTGCCGTCGGGCTTGCTGTCGGGCTCGGCGTTGGATACTGCGTCGGAGACGGCGTCGGGCTTGCCGTTGGGCTTGTCGTCGGAGATGGCGTCGGGCTTGCCGTCGGGCTTGGCGTCGGAGACGGCGTCGGGCTTGGCGTCGGGTATTGCGTCGGAGACGGCGTTGGGCTTGACGTCGGGCTTGGCGTCGGAAATGGCGTCGGGTTTGGCGTCGGGTGTGCCGTCGGACTGCGCGTCGGGTTTGGCGTCGGGTGTGCCGTCGGGCTGCGCGTCGGGTTTGGCGTCGGATGTGCCGTTGGGCTGTACGTCGGGGTCGGCGTCGGGTGTGCCGTTGGGCTATACGTCGGGTTCGGCGTGGGATACGACGTCGAGGGCGGCGTTGGGCTTGGCGGGCACTGCGCCGTACCGACCGCATTGGCGACGAGCGACGCGGTCCCCGATCTGTACAGCCTTAAGTCCGCTGCGGAATAGGAGCGGGTGGGCGTTACTGATGTTGTCTGTCCCGAAGCCGCGGCCACAATGTCAGACGAGGACAACTCGGACGGCCACAGCTCCAAGGAATGAATCTTTCCTGGCAAATTCTCTGTGAGCGAATATCGGGCGAACACCGTTATATCGTCGCCGAAAGTTGTGCCTGACGAGACGTAAAGGTGAACCCACGGGGCATAGGTGGTTGTTGCAGAATTGACACTCGCAACGAGGGTACTTGTGGTAGCGGCAACTCCGTTCACGTATACCGTGTCACGCCAGTTGCCGCCCTTGTTGATGCGCGCGCTGCCAGACGACCAGTCCAGAAAAGAGAACCATCCAGAGCCCAATCCAGTACGTGCATCGAATAAGTACTCCCAGTGATAGCCTGCATCCTTGTACGGCGCAAACCACATTGACAGAGCTCGAATGTTGCTGCTATACGGCAATTGAACATACCCGAATGTATTTGAAGGGATCTCGATATACTGGCAACGAGTCGGTGACGTGCCCCCGCCACAACCGCAGCATGCTGTCGAAGCGTCATATCCATCGTTCGCCCAATCTGCAAATGTGCCCCATCCAGAACTCCACCCTGTTCCATAGCCTCCAGACGTGGTGCAACGATTTCCCGTGTTATACCAGGAGCAAGGTGTACCATCACGGCTCCCCCACCCAGGAACGTCCACACAAGTCGCCGTGGTCGCCGTCGGCTCTTGCGTCGGGCTTGGCGTCGGATTCCGCGTCGGGTCTGGCGTCGGGCTGGGCGTCGGATACCGCGTCGGGTCTGGCGTCGGGCTTGGCGTCGGATACAGCGTCGGCTCTGGCGTCGGACTTGGCGTCGGAACATGCGTGGCACCTGGTGGCAATGGCGTTGGGCTTGGCGTCGGTTCTGGGGTTGGGCTTGGCGTCGGATATGGCGTCGGATACGGCGTCGGATACGGCGTCGGATACGGCGTCGGATACGGCGTCGGATATGGCGTTGGATATGGGGTCGGGCTTGGCGTCGGATACGTCGTCGGATTTGGCGTCGGCGACGGCGTGTAGGCCGAGCACACGTAGCCGAGCAGGATGTGGCCGTCGTTGCAGGTCTCACACTGGTCTCTCACCACTCGGTCCTGAGGCGTGACACAAGTCTTGCATGCCGCTCCGCTCCCAGTCTCGCAAGTCAGCCTCTGATGCCGGTAGGTCACGAACTGCGCGGACCCCTCGCTGGCCCTGGTTCCAACCGCTGCGTAACAGGCCCCAGAAGACATCGCATTGGGCGGCATGCATGCGCAAGTGGTCCCCAGGCTGCCGGAGCCGTCGTTCGGCGAGTCGGAGTACAAGTACTCGCAGTAGTTCCCGGCCGCCTCCCACTGCGTCACCCGGGCGAAGCACTGGGCGAGGCTCAGCGCACCCCAGGAGGCTCCCGCCATCGCCTGGCTCACAGCGCAGGAGAACTTCTGAGCCATGTTGGAGAGGCCCGTGACCCAGGCAGGCTCCGACCCAAAACCGTCGCAAGTAAAGCAGAAGCTCTTCGTGACGGAGATGGCGATTCTGCCGGCGAAGTCACCGGCACTCCTGTTCATGCTGGACCTCTGGAGCGACCCGTTGCGGGCCCCCTCGAGGATCGGCTTGGGGTCTGGGAACTTGCTCTCGACGTCTTCACCGAAGCTGGGCTCAGAGGTGGCCCTGGAGAGGAGGCGCAGCGCCGGCAGCAGCGATGTCTTGTTGAACTCCCTCTCCGACAGGCGTGGGGGCGGGGCTGGTTGGGGCCAGAGTTTGATCGAGAACGAGTAGCCAAACTCGAGCTTCGGCTCTGGATAGAGAGGCAGAGAAACCGCCCCCGAGACAATATCGAACGCCAGGATGCCCGTCAGAGCCGACTCCCAATACGACCACTCCGTGCTGGAGGGCCCCGCCGTACATCCGATACTGAAGAACGCGGAGGCAGATGGCTCCCACGTGTACGGCGAACCGAAGATGGAAATTCGGCCCGTAACAAACCCGACAATCTTGGCGGCGAATTTTCCATTGAGGCATCCAGCCTGACCCTTGATTCCAAGCACTACGTATCCGAACTGGAGGTCGACGCCCAATGTGATGGTAAAGTCTCCTTCATCACAGAACACTGCTTCCAGCCTCGTCTGAAGATTGGTGAGGAGGTTGTCACCTACGATGATTAGGTCATCGAGCATCCGTCCTGAAGATATGTACCTGAACACGCCAATGACTCCTTTGGCTGCAGTTTGGACAAAGCTTGGCGCACACCACGAGCCCCCTGTCCAATCAACGTTCAGGAAGGGAGTGGGGATGCCGAAACTAAGCCCGGGGAGGCTGGTAGTCTTGGTGAGGCAATTAGTGAACTTCGCCACGGTATCCGCGAAACGCTGGGCCATCCCGAAAACGTCCAGCACGTCCCAAAAGGTCATGCTGCTGACGAAATCGAAGGCACCACAGTCAGTGAATTCGGCGGTGGGGGCTGAGTTCCAACAGAAGTCGATGTTCACAGCCGCAGCTTCTGAGTAGATCCCGTTCACGACCCTCTCGCCGAAATCCCACAAAGCCTCGAAAACCGTAGTAGCAATTATCGCTTCGGGAGGAAACAGGGCCGCCCTGATGCCGTCGGCGATGTTCGGCAGACAGCGAAGATTTGCCATGACCATGTTCTCGAGTATATCCAAGAGTATCGAGAATCCACACTCGAAGAATGAAAGAGCGTTGCTCACCCCCTCGGAAATGCAATTCCAGACGCCGGAACAACTCGTGGGGATAAGATCGAAGCCGCACATGTCACCAACCGCGTCGTTGACGGCATTCACCACAGCTGACAAGCATTCTCCGAAGCTCATGAGCACATTCACGACAGTGTCGACCACGCACGTGTACACATACTCCACTGCCTCGGTGAAACACGACCACACGCAGTTGGTGACGCAGCTCACCGTGCACACGACCACATCGACGACCGTCTCTACCACATCCACAACGACACTCCACCAACGACGCCGACGCCTTCCGCCCCAGAACTCGAGCTCTTGAGACGTTCGCGCAACGGAGCCCGAATCTCGGGAAACTCGCGCAACAGCGCTCGAGTTCGTATGCGCGAGTCTCGGGCAAGAGGTGCAAGCGTCATTGCAAGAGTTCCCGCAGTTACTCACCCATTGTGTTTCCGAGCAGGTGCTGGGAAGTGAGAAGATACTCTCGAAGGTGCACGAAGGCCCACGCAATGCCTTCTGGGGGGCAGCTCGCTGTGCCGGCTGAGGAGCTGTGGCGAGCCACTCATCGAGGGTCAAGAACGCACTGCCATGGGCGCTGTGCTTCTCCACAAACTCTTGCACCGACGCCCTGGGGAGTAACACTTGGTCAAAAGGAGTGTTGAGCGTGCCGTTGGCGGCTTCGTCCGCGACGAGGTCCTGCCCGATTAGGGCGCCCACTAGCTCGTCCACGTCCAGGGTCGAAGACTGATCTTTGTCGAGCTCGCCAAACTTCTTCTCGAGAAAAAGCAGCTGCTCGTCTGACGACAGATTTTTCCACGCATGTGTCACCGTAAGCGCCCCCTTGATGACCACGTATTCATGGGAGTGACAGGGAGTCGTCTCGTGCGATGGGAACCCTGGCCCGCAGTGCCCACACTCGTCGACGTAAGCAGCATCGGAGCAGAATTGGCACTGGCTGCAGCTGTCGCACGTACCATCGTAGCAAAATTCCGAACCCTGGCAATCAGAATGATCTTGGCAGTGCACCACGTCCGGCTCTGGTTCTGGACCCTCGCTGCAAGTGGCGCAGCACACTGCCAGAACTTGGCTCGACAAGTTCGAATCGGCACAGTACGGGCCGACATCCGAACAACCGCTGACATCAGCCACACGCGCATGATCTTTTGCAAGTTGGACAGCGCCTGCATCGTTGTCAACACAACCAGCCGATCCGTGCGCTGGCACGTCGGAGCTCTGGTCCAAGACGCGAGTCTGGATCAGCTGCACGTCGGATGCCACGTTATCGGCCACACTCGCCCAACTGCGAGCCGGCAGAAGAAGACGGGCGATCACGACAATGGGGAGCTTCATGCCCGCCATGGGCACTAAAAACGTGTATGGAAAGAGTGTATAGCTGTTTGCGCCGCGAGGCAGAAACTGTGTACGTTGATGATGAGACAACACGATCCAGAGGCTGGTTGTGTCCACTATGGCTACGGCTGCGGCTGCTGAACGTCATCCAACATCAAGAGCCTTTCTTGGCACGCCTTGTTGGTTGCGCACGTCTGGTCACCGCCCGCAGGGTCCCAGGTCCCGCTGGCTTTGAGGACCCACAACCCTGGCACAGTGGCGGGATGGGCCGAAGGCCACTGGATCCGTCGCCCCCTTCGGCGCCCAGCAGGGGTGCTTGGCGTTCCAGGTTTGTGAATACTGATTGGCCCTTCCGCAAAGTTCCTGCCCCTTATAGGTAATCCCCCCTGTCGCACCTCTAGACGTGTTGGCATGTCGGGCCGAGCGTTTCGCCTGAGACCTCCTCACCATGTATGGTCCTGATGTCTGGAATTCGCAACAGCTTCAAAATTGAGAGGGGGGTCAAAATAAAGGTCTAGCGTCAGCGCCGTGCACATTAGTCTTCAGTAGCAGAGATTCAATGATGGAGTGAGAACAGCTCGTTTTCTAGATGTAGCTCTCGCCTTCGCGCCTCGCAAATTCGTCTTCACATCTTGCAGCAGCTTCAAGGATGGAGAACAAGTGGTCTTCGAAATGTGGCGTTCGCCTGGGCGCCGCGCACACTCGTCTCAAAGTTCGCAGCGGCCTCAAGGATGCTGTGGGAGGGTGATTTCCGCATGTGGTGCTCGCGCTGCCCCCGCGCGCCTTCGCCCTAAAAAGTCCCGAGCAGCTTCGAGGATGGAGGGCGGCCCCGTTTCGACGCCTCGCAGGGGTGCCGCGCACATCCGCCTTGAAAGTCTGCAGCGGCCTCAAGGCTGGAGGGGATCACTTCCAGCATGGCGCTCTCGCCGTAGCGCAGCGCACACTCGTTGTGGGGAGCTTGCACCTCCTCTGAGTGGGCTTCCCATGTAGCACTGCACGGATCGAGGGCGGCTCCATTGTCAAGGCGGAGCTCTCGCTGAGGGCTTCCCAGGAAGTCCAGGACCACGAGCAGCATGTTGTGCAGCAGTTGCATGGATGGCGGCGCCGGTCCTTCGTCGAGAGAGGGACATCGCAGGACGCCTCGTGGAACCGCATGATCTTGGTTTCTCGCGTTCCTGATTACGCGCCAGAAAGATGCGAGACAGGCTCCTTTTCAAAACGGGGCCCTCGCCAAAATGGCAGGCCCATATATAATATATATATATCTATATGTACACATAGTTATATATATAGTGTGTTGTTGTTCCAAGGGGGGCGCCTCTTGTGGTGAAAATGAAAACATGTAAGGTACTGATGAGGCGAGGACTCGGGGCCGGAGGGTGCATTGCAGCATCGCTGATGCATCTTGGGTTTTCTCTGGTCCTCCTCCTCCTCTTCCTTCCTCCTTCTCCTCCTCCTCCTCCTTCCCCTCCTCCTTCTCCTCCCACTTCTCCTTTTCAAGGTGGAGCTCTCGCTGAGGACCTCCTTGAAGTCCAGGACCACAAGTGTAATGTTATGCAACAGTTGCATGGATGGGGGCGGCGGTCCTTCGTCGACAGAGGGATATCGCTGGATGCCTCGCTGAACTGCATGATCCTAATTTCTCGCGTTCCTGATTACGCGCCAGAAGGATGGGAGGCAGGTTCCTTTTCACATCGGGGCCCTCGCCAAAATGGCAGGCCCATATATAGATACATAATGTTGTCATTTCAAGGGGACACCTCTTGTGGTGAGAACGGAAACATGTAGGGTACTGATGAGGAGAGGACTCGGGGCCGGAGGGTGCATTGCAGCATCGCTGATGCATCTTGGGTTTTCTCTGGTCGTCCTCCTCCTCATCATCCTCCTCTTCCTCCCTCCTTCTCCTCCTCCTCCTCCTCTCCCTCCTCCTCCTCCTCCTGCTCCTCCTCCTCCTCCTCCTCTTCCTCCTCCCCCTCCCTCATCCTTCTTCTTCTTCTCCTACTCCTCCTCCTCCTTCTGCTGCTCCTCCTCCTCCTCCTCCTCCTCCTCCCTTCTCCTGGTCGTCGTCCTCCTCCTCCTCCTCCTCCTGGCCCTCCTCTTCCTCCACGGTTTCCACAACGGCTGGCCTAACACGTGGTAGTCAAATTGTTTGCCCAAATTTTGTTCTCCAAAGGTAGGGGGCGCGGTGGTTCGCCGTGGGCATCTTCAATTCGCCGCCGCCGCCCCCTGTGGCTTGCCAGAGGGATACTTGACTCTTCCCATAAGCTCCCCGTGGCCTCCAGCCCAGCCCGCGAGCCACTCAGTAGCTACCGCAAATCGCCACAAAGAACTCTCATGCGCCGAAACTAGGTCTACAAGATGGCCAGGATGGCCAAGGTGGCCTCGAAGACAGTCCTATGACACCTCCACGACGGCAAACGATGGCCCAAGACGGTCTAAGATGGCTCCAAGACGGCCCGAGATGTCATCAAGGCGGCCCCAGAGGCCCCCGATACGGCCCAAGCGGGCTCCGGCCCAAGAGGGCTCTGGCCTTCCCGGAGGGCCGCATCGGCCAGAACGGTTGATTGCCCAAAAGCGTTGGACACGTTTTCGCGTTCACGCCTCGTCGGGTTCCCGACAACCCAGGACGGCTCCAGAGGCCTCCGAGATAGCCCCAAGACGGATCCAGAGTCGTCCGAGCAAACCTCCTTGGAGGGGGGGGGGGGGGCCGGGGGTGGGGGGGGGCAAACCCCCTGGAGGGGACCCCCCCCGTAAGACGGACCCCCCCTGGCGGACCCCCCTTGGGCCGCCAAAGAAACGGTATCCTTGCATCCTGAGCCGTCCGTCGAGCTGCGTGAGGGTCTTGATACATCAAGGGCTCCTAAGTTCGCGCTTCGCGCTGCGCGAAGCGCGAAGCGCGAATAACTTCGCGCTCTCGCGCCGCCCTCCCAAAGGGAGAATAGGAGGACGAAGAGGAGGGGGAGAAGGAACGAGGACCGCGAAGCGCGAAGCGCGAATAACTTCGCGCCCTCGAGGGAGCCCTTGATACATCCTGTGCCAGTGCCCGTGCCGTCGGACGCCCGGGGTCAAAGAGTTGCTGGCTCTGTGGCCACGGCTGGCCTTCGGCCCCGATGTCCAACGCATCCCCGCTCCACCCGTGGCCAAGCCACCCACGGACAAAACTGTGCACCAATGTCGGGTCGGGCGAAAGGGGGGGATAGCAAAGGGGGGGTTTGAGAATCAGCTCACGTAGCTGATTTTCCCGGCGCCTCCCGGCGCCGGAGGCGGCCATGTATCGAGGAATGGGCCCCTCGGCGAGGCCGAAACCAGCTGCATGCAGCAGATTTCGTAACCCCCCCTTTCCCAATCCCCCCCTTTCGCCTGGCCCGACAATGGGGATGGGTGGTCAACTATTGGCAGTGTGCTGCATGTTTGAGAGGAAGGCGAGGAGTGCCTTCGGTAGAGCCCCCATCCAGGGACGTGCTCGGCTGTCTTGCGTGCACAGCCTGCTGAGCTCAGAGCGCTAGGCCATCGGCGCGGGCTGCTCGATTGCTCGGATGGCTCATTTTGGTGTATATGCCACAAGTGCTCGTTTTTGACGTCGGGTGGGCAGGTTCGCAACCTCGACAAACAGTGTGAGCCACACAAAGTTGCCTCACACAGCAATCCGTGGACTAAATTGAAAAAAGGGCTCCATCCGAAAAAGGCTGGGGTCACTGTCGATTTAAACACGTTTTGCCGTATGTAGTGTCCTGTCTCTGTTTGCACAGTGCAGTGCTGGACGCTCTCTGATCGGGCTGCCGGGCTCCCAGCCGCTTGATCTCCCCCAGTCGGCTTCACCCACCTCCTGGGGTGTATGTTGGGTTGCGGCATCGTGAACGCAAAAAACATCCTCCTCCTCCTCCTCCCCTCCCCCTCCCCTGCTCCTCCTCCAGCTCCTCCTCCTCATCCTCATCCTCATCCTCCTCCCCTTCCTCCATTCCTTCTCCTTATAGATGATTTCTCCCTGTCGCACCGCGAGGCCTGTTTTTAGGGCGGGCCGGGCGTTTCGACTGAGACTTCCTCATTATGTATGACTCTGAAGCTTAAAAAGTGACAATAGTTTCACAGATTGAGGGCGGGAGGTGTTCAAAATGTGGCTCTCACCTTAGCGCCGCGCACATTCTTTTTAGAAATCAGCCAACCCTGTCGCCGTGTGGAAGAGGCTGTTCCGTTTGACTCGTCCTCGTCGTCGTCGTGGTCGTTGTTCTCGTCGTCGTCGCTGTCGCCGTCGCCGGTCCCCTCCCTTTCCCTGAGCCTGGCGCCGCTGCCTCCACTTTCACCGGGCCCTCCTCCTCGAGCGCGCCAACCACAGCGAAATTGAGCAGCGCTGTAGTTGAGTCGAAGGGAAGCCCCTTCCCTTTGATCCCTTCCCCGCCAGGGGGGGGGGTCCCGAGGGGGGTCCCGGGAAGGGTCCCAGGGGGGTCCCAGGGGAGGTCCCGGGGGGGGTCCCGGGTCAGATACGACTCCCCTCTGGGCGGTTCGGGAGCCCAGACAATCCCCAAGACGTAGCAAAAGTGCCCCGAGAGGCCCCCAAGAATGTCCTCGAGGGCCCCGAATCGCCGAAGAATCGGTCCAAGTCGCGATAGCCTCCAGACAGCTTCGGAAGTTCCCAATCCAAGGGCACTCCCAAGAAGGCCCCAAGAAGCAAAAATCATAGATCTCCCGTAGGTTTTGAAAGATTCGGGCATTCTCGCCTTGTCAGCTTCCCGACGCTCCAAGACAGGCCAAGAGGCCCCCAAGACAGCCCCAATATCGCCCAAGACGCCTCCAAGATACCCCAAGAGGTCCCCAAGACGGCTCCAAGAGAGAGCCCAGACTGGAGACTCGACCGGGCATTTCGAACCCTCGGCCACAGAAGCTCCCAGGAGGCCCCATAGGCCCCTAAGAAGCTCCCCACGAAGCCCTAAGAGGCTCCCAAGAGACCCCCAGGAAGCTCCAAGAGGCCACCACGAGGCTCCCAAGCGGCCCTCAACTGCCACCTCCACCCTTCCTCCCTCTCCACCTCCTCCTCCTCCTCCACCCCCCCCGCGTTTCCATACTCGTGGCCTCCAAGGTCGGCGGCACAGGCCGTAAGGCCTTCGACATATATTTGCAAGAGTTTCACGGATTGAGGGCGGGTGGTTTTCAAAATGTGGCTCTCGCCTGAGC